AAACCCTGGATATCAAAAGAAATCAAAGAACTGCATCAAATGGTATGTGACATGTGCAAATTAGCTAAATTTTCTAACATAGCAATTATCAAACAAAAAATGGGGTATAACAACAACAGAATTATAAATGCAGAAAATATTAATAAGGAAAGTTGGAAAATTAACAATGAAAATAGGAATAAAATAAAAAATAATTATACTTTAGAACTAACAATCAATGGTAATACTACTACAGATAAAACAACAATAAGTAACCTTCTCGATACATTTTTCTTTGACATAAAAACAAATCAGCCTAAAATCAATGAATTGAAATTATCTCCTTTCTCATATAACAGCTTATTCTTATATCCAACATCACATATAGAGATCCAAGAAATCATTTATAAAACCACAAAAACTACAGCCTCAGGAATAGATGATATACTCGGTAAATCTCTTAAAAGTGTCAATGACATAATTTGTCAATCTCTATCATTTATTGTAAATAAATCTTTATGTGACGGCATATATCCAGAATCACTGAAAACATCAAAGTCTATACCCATATATAAAAACAAGGGCTCCAAAAATGATGTAACCAACTATAGAAATATCTGTTTGCAATCGCAAATTGACAAAGTTATTGACTATGCCTATTATTTGCGACTTCGCAAATAATAGGCATAGAATGTCAACATGGTTTTAGACAGTGATATTGAAAATTCATGTGTATCTCCACAAAAAATAATAATATATGCTGATGATACCTATCAAATACTAGCAGAAAATGAACTTCTCTTCTCTGTTCAAGCTGCAAATAAAACTGCTGATGAATTTTCACAATGGTGCACAAATAACGGTCTAATTGTTAATGTAAATAAAATTGTTTTCATGAATTGTCAACAAAAGAATCATACTAATGATCATTGTTCACTAATAAAAATACACCACAGATCTATGGAGCAGGTGAATCAATACAAGTATCTAAGATTAGTAAAGGATCAGAAGTTAACTTGGCGACAACACACAGATTATCTAATATCAAAACTGAGTAGAGTCTGCTTCATAATAAGACAACTACATGGAGCAGTATCACTAGAAGTACTCAAATTGGCCTATTTCGGATTAGTACAATCTAATATCTCAAAAGAGTTAATATTCTGGGGAAACTCAGCATACCTAACAAGTGTTTGTTATCCAAAAAAAAAATTAGATGCATCGCATACATTGTAGACAATCATGCATAACAGTTATTAAAGATCTAGCTATTTTAACACTACCGTCTTTATATATTTTGCTCATATCTATGAATATCAGAAATGAATCACACCATACAAAAAACCGTATGATACATGATCACAGTACTTGCAGAGGAAATGAACTGAGACTACCTTACTCACGATTAGCTCTCGGGCAAGACTCGGCAAGCTATCAAGGTGTCATATGTTATAACAAAGCAACTAGGTTACTAGGAAATATTGAAAATTACAATACATTCAAAAAAGCTTTAATAGACCTTCTCCTAGAAAATGCCTTTTATATTGGAAGTCACAGCATTCTGGAAATGACCTCTGACTTTATGACTCCAACTGTCAACTACGATCTGCCTTATAAAGTACTATTCCCGAGTAGAGAGGACTGGATCCTCCGGGAGAAGGAAATATTAAGAGCAGATAGTTGTTGGTTCACAGATGGATCAAAAACACCATCCGGTTCTGGTGCAGGTGTTTTTAGTCGCAGACCCAGGACAGAGTTATCTACCTGCCTAGGAACTTATGCGACTGTATTTCAAGCGGAAATGTATGCTATTGAATTGTGTGCGGAGAGATTGGATAAATCCAATCTCACTCACAAGTCAATAAAAATTTTCTCGGACAGTCATGCGGCGTTGGAAGCGCTTGGCTCCTATCGAGCAACGTCTAAATTGGTAGCAAACTGCCAAAAACGACTCTCCTCGCTAGGAAGACTTAACAGATTGTCTCTGGCTTCATCGGACCAGAACCTGTCATTGGCATCGCTTTGGGCTTTGCTAAACAAACACTGAACACCTGGATGGCAAGAAAATTTATGGACTTCTGGCAGAATCTTCTAAGATTGGCTAACTCCAAGGCTTTTATTCACCCTTCGAAGCTTGATACCAAACAGTTGTTGGACTACAGTAGGGATGAACTACGATGTGTAACAGGCCTTCTTACAGGTCACTATCATTTGAATCATTATATGCAGAGATTTAGACTGTGTGTGTTGCCTCTGTCTAGAAAATTTTAGTTTATATAAGATTTTCACACGTTTTTTTTAATAGTTTGTCCATGGAGTCGTTTTACTTATTATACTTTATATTTGAAACCTTGTACTTTCATTTTCTCTTGGACTAAGAAAAATACCATCCACGTAGAGTAAGACGAAGTTGAGAGAACAAAAACAAATTAGACTTTTTGTCAATCTATGGAGAAGAGAATAGTAAGTGAAAAGCATTTCATAAAATTCAGTTCTAGAACCACATAATGAGAAAGAATATAAGTAGGTATACCAAATGATCTCAGATATAGCCTTCGTGCGATCGGCACAAACCCTACCGCCTATAATTGCCAACATCCAAATTTTGATGTGGAGAAATCTGCATCTGGTGAGAGCAGCTGCCAAATTTTATTAAAATAAAACAAACGCGGCAATAGCAAGAGGGTGATCAAGGATTGACAAGACAGTTGAGTATTATTTCACTGGTGACAAATATATATAAAAACAGGTAGATGTTACACTGATGACTGCTAAGTGGGATTTCACGGGGATGTCTCGGTTAAAAAATCAAATTCCACAATTCTGACCTTTTTAAGTTTTGAAATATAGGTCTCTTTCAGTACCTTTCATAGTAATGTAATCATGCAAAAAAATCCCCATCCACGAATATTTTGTTGGAGTTACTGAATTTTATTTTGAAAGCATATAAGGGTGTGTGAGGGTCGTTTTTCTGCCCGGCAAAATATTTTCAGATATAGATCTCTCTCAGTACCTTTCATAGTTATGAAATCATGCAAAAAAATATCCATCCACGAATATTTTGATGGAGTTATTGAATTTTATTTTTAAAACATATACGGGTGTTTGAGGGTTGTTTTTCTGCGCGGAAAAATATTTTAAGATATCGTTCTCATATTTCAACATATGGGACTCATTTTGTATGCCAAATTGAATACATTCAAAGAAAAAAATCCCTATCCATGAAATATTTCAAGAAATTGTGGATTTTTCTTCTAAAGTTATTATATAGGGAGTGGGGCTTGATTTTTCCCCAAAAAAATTTCAATATATGGGTTTTGTTCTGTATGCCTAAAATGAATATATTCGAAAAAATAATCTCCACTCACGAATGATCTGAAGGAATTATATGGAAGAGGAGAGGCAATTTCACAAAGTTACACAAGTTTTCAAATTGTCATACAATATGCACAAATATGAAGAGAGTGATTCAGTTATTGTGTAATAACAGTCAACTCAGTATTCTGGATACATATCAGTCGTATTTCTTATGTAACTGATGCCATAAACATGAGCATATGATTCAAAATATTTGTTGAGCACCTCACAGTTTTAGGACAAATGGAAACTAATCAGTTAATATAATACAATGAGTATTTGTCTGAAAATGATTGACAACATTTCTTGGTAAAAATAATAAGTTCAGACATCTAATGTCTAAATAAGTTTTAACAGATTTGAAATCTGAAATGTTTTGATGACATCGGCCATGAAATCCTACACACAATGACTACATTCAACAAACTTTATTATTATTTTCTGGAGTCAACAGGGATGTTACATAGGTCTTTTNGGTGTTAATTTTTGTTTTCAGAATTTCAGAGTTTTCTCCTGTTGCAATAGATAAATACTTTCAAAAAGATACTTACTTTTTTTCATCAACAGCTTCCACCTTTGAATCATCTCCCCAATTTTGATTGATGTCGTTATTAGGTCTATCAGCTTCTCTGAGAAAAATGAAAAATATTACTTTTTTTTTTTACCAGACATGCAACATACTCTATATCATCCTTATGAGATCCCCAATTATGAGCACCAACTCCCTCACGTTTGTCGATGGGTTTAACTCCTCTGTAACCATGGCTGCTTTCAGTATAGAGTCAATAACCAAATTGCATCAATTTTCAGTATCAAAAATAAAAAACCACAGGACTCTAGCCAAAGGTAAGTTTAAAAATCCACAATGTATACACCTTACTTTATAATACTACTACATATGCTACCCCGTTCGCCTATCCCTCCTGTATTGCAGATAAAAGTCGAGTAAATTCGTGACTAATTTCATATGAACTGTTTTTCCTTGATTACCCTTAGGCTAACATTGAAGTTCTAGTAGATGAACCGACATATTGACTATCATAGAGTTGTTACATAGATAAATGGAAAATTTTACACAATGTTATGAGCACCTACATATTATTAACAAAATGTTTCTACAATCAAGTCAAAAACATCAGCATGTCTTTAGAAGTTTTCAGAGAAACGCAAAAAGATGGCCGACAATGAAGATGTATTGTCGGACAGCTCTGAAAAAGCGGAGATTGAACACTATGAAGTGCTGTGAGAACAAAAAATGTGGAGTAAAAGTTTGTATAAACTGTTTCGCGATTTATCATAAAAGTTGTGCGAAAAGGAACCATCAATTGAAGGTATTATCGGAAAACAAAGTGATATGCTGTGAAAAAACCGAGAACATACAAAATCAAAAGCGAAGCAACGAGAGTGAAAAAGAAATGCTGCTGCTAGAAATCAGGTATTTGAAAGAATTACTAGAAGAAACAAGAGACAAAAACAATATACTGAACATCAATAATAGTTTATTGCTAGATAAAGTGGCGATATTAGAAAAAAATAATAGAAGAAATCATAAACCAGAGGAGAGTAATAAAGGCGCAAAAAACGTAAACATAAACAATTCGCATGCCGGACAAGGAACGTCACATGAAAGTAACCCAGATACAGAAAGCTGGAATAAAATAAACTCAACATCAATGCAAAGTCTTAATATCCAACGAAGTGATTTAGTACCTCGCGAGCAGATGGCGCACCTAAAAAAAAATATCACAAAAGCCAACCTATGGACATATTGCCGCCAAAACAAACGTAAACAATAACAATCCAAACAGTGGACCCATAATCTATGTTTTATTAGAAAAGTGAACCACATAACATCTATAATAATCCCAAACGACAACAATGATAATTTCGTGGAAGTCAAATATCAAAAACGAAACAAACAAAATAGAGTATACAAAAAGAATATTGGCACAGGTCCTAGCGATGATAATTCCGAGTTCTCAGGACCAGAGCAATAAGTATGGCTTTGTTTATACAGAGTGAAGAGGGCTGCAACAGAAGAAAAGATAAAAGACTATATTACCAATAAACCAGGTTATAATAATGAAGTAAACGTGAAAGAGATCCCAACCACAGAAGATCGACTACGAAGATATGTAGTGACAGCACCACTATCGAAAAAGGATGAAATGTACAAACCGGACTTCTGGCCAAGCGGAGTAGGTATTAGAAGATTTGATTTCACAAAACACAAAGATTTTCTGAACCAACTAGGTGGAGATTTTTTATAGAAAATGAAACACAGGAGGCCCGGCAGAGCAATTTTCTGTTGAATCTGGAACCGTATGATTCAAAAGAATATTTTGAAG